AGTGTTTCTCTTTCTTTTCTTTTCTCTTTTTTTTTTGGCTTCTTCTCTTTTCCTGGAACGGGATAGATAGAATTGCGTAGAATTGTTTCGAGAGAGGATAGTTTTCTTTTTTCTTCGTGTATTCCTCTTGTTCTCTTGGTTATCTTATTGTTTTATTGGGGGACGGGATTGGGATTTCTCGTTGAATTGATCAGGTTGATTCTTTGTGATTATTTGAATTTCTTTTTAACGTTCAAAGTTTCGTTTTTTTTTTATTATAATTTTAAAATGATACATGGATAGAATAAAATCGTAAAATGTTTAAAAATTAGTGCTCTATTATCTATTTTGTTGTAATAGAAAAAAGAAAATTGTATTCGAAAAGATGCTGAAACGTTGAAGATTGATTTCATTTCCTCAAAGAGTCGTCGACGTAAGAAATTGCATTTTTTGTCATAAACTACTTATATTTTAAAGAAAGGAAGAAAATTTCATTCCAATAAATCGAATTATTCCAATTAAATTCTTCCCTTACACTGATTCACGTTACAGAAATCTTAAAAGTGCACTTTATAAAAGGAAGGTCGTTAATTTTGTTAAGAAGTTTGTAGATGATTCAACGACGTAGTAACGCAGACATCGAATTCTTTATTTCGTTTGATCAAAGCATCTGTAACAGATTCGAACTGTAGTAGTGAACTTTCACGAGGAAACTATTCTGTGTGTAAGAATCTCTGGATTTAATCTTATTGAAAAGGTTGTAACAGATTCGTGTTGCCGAAACTTGTTTGTAGAATCCCGTTTCGAATGGTAGTATTGTACCATGAGTTGGCTGGTAAAAGTTGGCCTCGAAGGAAGAATCGCAAATTCAATATCTTACTCTCTGATCCCATCGAGAAGTTTTTATTTTATCGAAGTTTTAAGCGGCAGTTTCTTATTTTTTTATAATTTATCGGTCGTTACTTTATCGTTGGATTAAAATCTGCGTGGTTAATCAGTCACGGAGATAAAGAAAGTAAGAAAGTTTTCGAATTTATGTCGTCTCTCCTCAGCTTCTTCGCCCTTTGTTATCATTATTCCAACGATTCTCTTCTCGGTTGAACAGACAGATCTAAATTACTTAAATTATTTTTCTTCAAAACAACCAGATAAAACAAACTTTGGTCCATCTTTCGTAGAGATCCTGTGTCATATAATGTATACAGTGTTTAGCTGAAGGAATAATAAATATTATTTTGTGGGGAAGTTTAATTTAAAATTAGATACGTAAATATTGTGACAATGAATGCAAGAGAAAATAGTATAATTAACATTGAATAATTTTCAATAATTTTATTATATTTTTATTATTTTAATTATATTTTTTATTAATTTATTAATGTAGGATATATCAATTTACAATATTCTACTTTTAATATTTCTCGATTAATTAAAAACAAGAAATAAATAATTAATTAATTCTTTCACAGTGAATTTCAAGGAGATTCAGGAAAGCTCAAGTATAATTAAACAATTTTCATAACGTTACATTAAATTTTATTAAATTAAAATTAAAAACTATAAAACTTGAAAATTTCACAGTGTTGTTATTAATATGAAAATTAACTTATATTTTCTCTATTAAAACTACGTTAAAATTAAACTACTAAGCGTGTTATTATTATAAAAAGTAATGTACATTTTTCTGCATTAAAATTAACCAACATAACAGGTAATTAAATTAAAATTAACAACCATAGAATTTTCAAATCGCAAGGTATGTTACGTAAATTTAAATTACTTTCTAACACGATTCTTGCATTATTCCCTATTAAAATCAACCAACCATCACATATTATTACTCAAGATTAAAAGTTACACAATTTCCAAGTCATAAGACACGTTACAAGAGCTTTAAATTATCTTCCAACACGCTCCTCGAAGGCCTCAAAACCTAACCATTCAACCCGCCACTCGGGGATCAAAAACAAGCATCCCATTTATCAAAAGCCTTCTATCATCAAGTTCCACAAGTTTCTTTCTCAGTTCACTGGTATTCAAACCTGTACCCTTACCACATCCCCTTTGAAGCCCGATAAATCACCCTCATCCAAATCGATATTACAGAAAAATCAATATTCAGAGTAAGAAGGGACGCTTGTAAGTCTCTGTTCTAAGTCTAGGCGGAAATTTAAACGATCCTTAAACCCTATCCTGTTTCCAACCACCCCGCGCTTCACCCCGTGAAATGCTCGATGTAATATCATTAAAATCCCTTTCCAGACCATTGTGCGGGGGAAAAATTCGATTAGCGGATCGGTCGAAATGGAATTCGTGAGCCTCTGGACGGCCATCGGTCGCGCCTCCACCCTCCTCCTTCCACCCCTAATTTCGTTTAATATCGAGCAGTGCAGATGAAACCGCAACTTGTATTCCGTACATCGCTCGCAGTGGGCCTCGCGATTGGCCCGCGCGCACCCCTATCCACGCGATTAATAAATTAACGTCGACAAGCCAGTCGAACGAGTTTCGCAATTATCGAAAATCCAACGGGCGCGAAAGCAGCTTGCAATCGCTTCGATGATTAAGCTCACGCGCGTGGAACGTTGTAAACGAATTATTTCGTCATTTTCCTCCCGTTGTTTCTTCTTTCTGTTATTTTTTTTTTTATTTTTTTTTCGTTCTCGGAGCGATTATCGGACGGGAAATTTTTGATCCTTTGATCGTTTTTGTATTTTATTGTTTTTGTCGCGATTCGATTCTGTTTTTATTATTAATCATTGTCGTGACAATTTTCTTTATTTTTTGTATTTTTTGGAATTGATTTTTTAATACTTTGTTGTTTTTAGCTTTTTGTTGATTTTTCTTTTTACCTTGTTAAGAGAGTTGTTGCGGTTGAAATATAGGTAAAATGTTTGTTCTTCAATCTATATCAAAAATATATTTTTGTGTAATTATGAGAATAAGAAAATCAGAAAATACAATCTTGTAGAATATGAATCAAGTTTTAATTTAATAAATTTATCTAAAAGGTTTTTTTATTCAAATTATCATAATTATCATTATTACATTAAATTGATAGAAAATTTCACAAATATAATAAGAAAATTCAAACAATTTTTGATATTTATCCGGTGCAATGAGATGCAACAAGTGGAGCGAAAGTTTTGTAAAAAAAGATTGGAATAGTTGAAAGTTTGAAAGTCCTGTGTTTCATGGACATCAGGTTTTTGAATAGTTTGAAAGCTCGGACGTGTAGTGTGTTAGAAAGTTGATGGTATTCAAAGTGCATTTCAGTTTACGGATTTAACCCTTTCGCCGCGGCCGATTTTAGCGCAATATGCGCGTGACAGACTGTAGACAGTTTATCGGCCGATGTTACAGGTGGCGAAACTTTTTACTGGTGTAAAATGTGTCGAAATTGTCGATGCAATGGATGGTCTTTGAAAACTTTTAAGCTTTATGTGATATACCATTTTTTGAACTGTATTACGTTGACATTATTTGCGGAGGATCAATATTTCAAAATTTCGTTATTAACATGTGAAAATACAGTCAAATTTAACAAGGGCCATAACGTTTTATTACAATTCGAAATTATAGCAAAGTTTAAAGAGGGCTTAATATTTCAAAAATGGAGAACTTAATATTTCAAACTTTCAAAATTACCAAAATTAGAGAGGAGGTATTTTGAGAAGTTCTAATATTTTATTGAAGTTTGAAACTAGATCCAAATTTGAAGAGGATCTAATACTTCAAAATATTAGGAGAACGGTATATTTCAAAATTTCTCCACTGTTAAAATACATTCAACTTTAATATTAACAAATTTTTCTACAGAATTTTTTTAAATAATAATAATAAGTTAAGAATTACAAAAAAAAAGGAGCATGTTTTCTACGATTCTAAAAATTTTTATTGATTAAGATGGTTATCTCAGCTATGATTTCTCCAACTAAATATATTCTTAAATAGGCGTGGCGAGGAATGTGAGGGCACCTGTGAGAATTTCTCGGCTTTCCAGAATTTTGCATACGCCCTGCTCGCATAGTTTCTGCATGAGGCAATAGTGCGTGCAACGTGATTCCCTGATATCTGATATTCTCGAGAATTTATATTATCCCATATCTCATTTGCAAGTAAAGAAAATACCTTACTCCTCATCCTAATTAACATTTAATCCTTGTTTTATTTATCAATGGAATTAAGTTGAATCGAAGGTATTAACACGGGTTAATACCCCTAATTTTTCGAGAAATAAGAAACGTTTGTTGCATCGTAAAACTGAATTACGCTGTAAAACTTAATAAAGCATGGTACATGCTGTATTACATGTAAAACATGTAAATAGGATATTTTCATTTTATGTTTAACTATTGTCATAAATCATTTTGCTCTCGAGGAAATTTAACCCTTATGGAGATGACATAGATATTTTATAATATATCGTTTTATTTGCAGAGAACGATCAAAGAAAGATCGCTAATTTTAAACTTAAGCGATGATGATTATTTATTCTTCCTTTCTCAATATACAGCGATTTATAATTGAAATATACATTTGAGTTTCTTAATTTCTCTTTTATTAATGAAAGTGTTTTGTATTGAATTCAAGTTCTTTATCGAATTCAAATTGTATCGTATCCTTTCTCTGGATATTTTTTAAATATTGATTACATAAAAATATAATGAATGAAAAATGACTTTGGTGTTTCTCGATGGAAACAAAAAATATTAAAAATTCACAGTAAATATTTGATGTACAACACAAATTTTTTAGTCTCCTTTTTTCCTTTTATCGATATTAATATATTTATTTCTTCAAAAATAAAATATTCCATTTTAAAATTTATAAGATAAAAAAATATATATTTAAAAATGCATTTTTGTTTAAATGCCAAATAAAGGAAAATTCAACTTTGCAATTTTAAAATATTAAATCCCTTCCTTTAGCTATTTCATACAAACCTCGAATCGCGTTAAAATATAAAACTATCCAAAATATCCTAGAGAGCTTCGTTTCATTGAATTTTTATTTATTTATCTTATTTATTACCATTTTATCGAGGAAAAGAAGAATCTAAAAAAATATAAACTCCAAGCAGCGACATCAAACTATAAACGGTTTCTCACGATGCATTTCTATGAAATATTTCTCTCAAGTAACCGGTCATAACCATAACGCAAAAAATGGTAAGAACTCGGAGTAAATCTTTCCTAGCTAGAAAAGAGTTTAAGAGTTTCTATTCTGCCGGACGATTTGTTTTCCTACGTCCTGGTTGCTTCAGACCGGCCGATTTACCTCCACCAAGTATCGTTGCCGGTTCGCGTTTCACGTGTCGTTAACCATGTCCCGCTTTCGACGATTGTACAAGATCCAACCTCTATTAGAGACGTGCTTTTTTCGCGAACGAGTTGCCCGATTAATCGACCGGTGTTGGCCGGTCGTTCGATATCCAAGGGAAAAATGGAACGGGCACGCAATTCGTGAAAGACGATTGTCCATTTCGAATGTGTTCTACGCGAGACACATAAAAGTTAGAAAATACGAAAGAATAAAATTCGATATTTGAATTAATGGATATTTTTTCGTTTTGGAGAAATTATAAGATAAACTTTTTATTTTTGCGATTCTTGAAAATTTGTTATATTTTTTATATTTAGAAAATATATATTTATTTCTATTCCTCAATTCCATCTATGAAAGAATCGAAATCATTACAATAGACACATTTCACGAAATATCGAAATTATATAAAATAAAATCAATTTCTTAAAATTATCAGATTAATTTCTATATCAATTTCATCTATTTAAGAACGAAATTTCTGCATAGAAGAACAGAAGGATCTGTATGAAATATCAGAATCAAATTCCCATATACAACAACCCCTGTGCAACGTCTTCTCGAGTTCCATTCTCTCATACGCATCGAGTAAAATCGTTTATTTTCCCTTTGACGCATCGAGCGCCAGTTCTGCATCGAAACACACCCCTTGTTCTCCGGTTTCGTCGAAAAGGAGAGCAAAAAAAAAAAAAAGAAAAGAAAAAGAAAAAAGACCTCGTTCGTTAAACGTTCATCCGGATCTCTACACCCTCTTTCTTCCTCCTCTTCCTCCCATAATCCCTCTTTCGCTTCTTCCCTTCCTGGGTTCGGTTAATTTCGCAGCGGTATTTTTCGAGGCTTATCGCATTAATTGCATCGTTGCACCGCGATGGGGATTAAATTTCGCTTAATGAACAACGCCGTATCCGCTATACGAACGGGTTGGAGGGTGTATCGCGATATATAATCCTCGAATAAATGAAACGAATTATTCTTATATAATATATATATATATATTTGTAGAGCGAAACGAGTGTTTGACGATGTGTATGTTTGTTACGTTAGAGTGGAATAGTGGTGAAGGGTTGAAAGGGTGTCTGGCTTTTGGTTTACCGGAAACGCGCGAACGGGCAAAGCGGATTGATTTTCGACGGTGTTTTATGTCCTATACGAAGATTTTATAGGTGTGCCTTTAACTGATTACCTTTGACTAATGCACAGGGAGCTTGGTAATTGATGTTTGTTGGCGTGAATTTTTCGTCGAGATGCTTGGAGACGTGTGATTAAAGGATGAATTGATGTTTGGCGCGATTCGAGGAATGTTTATTTATTTATTTTTTTAAATCAAAATTACTTTATTGCATTGTAGGTATTGATCAATGTTTTTTTTTATTCCATTAAAAGTTGATAAAATCTCGAATTGATCTTCAAAAGCTTTAATGTAGATAATTCAAATGAGAGAAAGATTTATCTATTAAAACAAATTTCTTTATATTTTTAATTATGATTAAATCGTTTTAAGATTATTTTTCGAAAAATGGAGAAATACTTTTCAACATTTAAGTCTATGATCGTATCTATGATGAATTTAGTATATATTAAATATTAGAAAATTGTTTAATAGCAAAAAATATAATTTTAATTAAAAATTAATCTTCAATTCTTTCATAGATAATATAATATAAATATTCGATAATCCAATGCAATGGGAAATTAAACACTATACATTTCAACATGTGATATAGATGAGTTAATACGATAATGAATCCATACGAGGAGTAATGAAACGTTAACGAACGGTTAAACAAAAGCTTGAATTATAAATGAAATAATTCCCGTTAACATGTTAATTATATCACGTTATATAGCGAATTGAACGGTATTTAATTGGCCTCGTAGTAAACGGGGGTGAACGTTGAGTGAAATATCTTCGCTTTATCGATCCAACTCCTGTTGCTTTACGCGTTTAATATAAAGCTCTTTAGCCGGTATAAATTCGTTTAATGGTTAAAGTTTTCCGAAAGGTTTCTCGAATCTGCGAATTTATTAATGGCGAAACTTTGAAAACAAATAGTTTTCACTGATTGTAGCGATAATTGGTAAGATTGGGCCCGAGAACGGGGGGTGGATTGTCTCGTATCGACAAGAAAATCGTTGAGATTAGCTAGTTTTAATCCACGATTTTGTAATTTTTTATTTTAAATCGTAATTAATATTTATTATGAGAAATATTAGATTTAGATTAGAAATACGTATATGTTGAAAAATTTGTTTTTAACGCGATCTCATTATTTAAAAATTAATTTTCCTATTTTTTTCTTTTAACAATTCTTATGGAAAATTATCTATAAAATCAAAGTATAAATAATCTATTTCTAGCAACGATAATAAAAAAAAAATGCAAGGATAAGAAGACAGCATCGGCATTGAAGCTACGTCATCGGCAACGTCATGTGACCAGAATTAACGTATCGCTAATAAAGCAGGCATTGAGATAGTATAATCAAACAGTTTTACGACTCGATGTTTCTCGTTAACATTTTTATAGTAGAAAAAGTACGGCGTGAAACAAAACATCGGGGCCAACGACACGAGTAAACGCGTATTATTCAAGCTGTGATACTTGAAACAACGTTTTTACGCCCTGTTATGCAAAGAAGACACTTACGTAGTGTTAATTCGAAGCGAGTGCGATGGAATTATGAGAGAGGCGTGTGTACGATAAAAAATTGCCCAATTGTCATACGGGAATAATCACTTTCAATTTAATTACCAACGAAACAATTATTCGTTAATTTTGGAAATTTTATTTTTACAAACATAATAATTAAACATTCATTATTCCAAAAGATATTCACAATTTTAATATTATTTGTGAATCACGAAATTTCAAAACAAATGTTCCAAAACTCTTGCATTACCAACATTATTATATATTCCAAGAAGTATTTCAATTTTCTAATTCAATTCTTAAAATAAAGAATCCTCCTTCATCCTTCGCTACACCTGAATCCCTTTGGAAACTCACACCACTTCTCGACTCCCCTTTCTAAAAAAAAAAGCAGTCGTTCTCCAAATCACTCGCACAAACACTCCTCTCGTAAACACCGTGCCCCGCGCCATCAACATCTATCGAAGGAATTAAAGCGAGAAGACAAGAACACCCTCGATCCAGCCCAGTTTTAAACCCAAATACTTACGCCCCGTGAAAGGGATGATTTATTTGAACTCGACTGCAAATATTTACCGAACAAAGAGCGGAGAGCAGAGAGACGTCGAGGGCGAATAGATAGAGAGAGAGAAAGAAGAAAGAAGAAAGTCGAAGAACGGCTTATTACAATTAATAGGTAGTCGGTGGGCCAGGATCAAAAAGCTAGCAGTCATCGTTGGGTGAATGGGTCGTAATTCGGACACAGGCTCGTTTCTTCTGAATAGAGGCTTAATTCCTGCCCTCTCGCGACACCCTGTCATCTTGTCACGCCACGTGACAAAGAGAGAAATAGACAACAAAAGGGGGTTGGTGAGGTAAGAGGAGCGCAGAGTCCAGCAAGAGGGGGTTGATTTTGATGGATTACCCCTCGCGCGTTACCTCGTGGAATTTCGTCGGATCTCTCTAGCCACCTTTCTCCCATGGGAGTCGATCGTCTATGCGCTTCGTGTTGTTGTCATCCGGGACAGAGAAATGCACTCAAGCCTTTTTTTTTTTGTATTTTCCCGCCATCTTTTTAGCTTGATACTGCTTGATTTCTTATGTGACACCTCGATTGATATGAGATATATTTAGCTTTTTGATTGTGTATAGTCATATAAATGTTAGTGTTTGGTAAGAGTTCGATTCATTAGTGTTAAACTTATATTATAATCTGTGTGTCACAAAGTGTTAATAAAATTCGTGACAATTCTTTGGAGGATATCTTAGTTAAGTAATGAAGAAGTAAAACAAGTTTATAATGTTGAAAAGGGGGTGTTTAATTTGAGGATTAGGTATTGTTTTTCTTTCGATAATATTAAGGAATTGAAAGAAATGTATGTTTTAAATTTCTATCTTTCACGAGATGTTTTATAAGAATAAAAATTTGTCTGCCTTAATTTCCTATGATCAGACCCCAAAGTAATTTCGTGTTTGCTAGGAGGTTGTTTAATTTTTACGGAGTACAGTTTACAAATACGTAATTTCTACCCTATTCCCTATTATGAAGTTAGCAGGAGGTCTTCAACTCCCCTGTAGGGTATAACCTGTTTCATATAACGATTCAGTTTAATACTGGTTGATATTAGGATACCGGATCAATAGTTTAATCTTCGATAGTAATTTTGTTTCATTTTAATATAAATTTGTATTTCTCACTTTATTGAATTTTCTATTATCCATTATTCATAAATTTTTAATTCAATATTTTAACATTGATTAAATATTAACGATTAATATTTAGTTTGTATTTGTAAAGAAAAGAAATTAATTTTTTTTTAAATCGAAAGCAATTTTTGACAGTGAGTATATTTCAAGCGTAAATATTAATCGATTAATTAAATTAATAATTTTAATCCTAATATAAAACACTGTGTATATCTGTGTATTTGGTGATAATCGCAATGGAAATTGGTGGATTCATTCTTTTGATCCGAACACAGTATTTACCAGGCTCCAGCAATTAATTTTACAAAGGATAGAGTTGCACGAGTCGGGAAAACTGCTTTGTAATTATTTTCAACGTGTTTACCGTGTACGAATAATGAAAGTGAAAAGCTGAACTGGGCAAATTAAATCTTTGCGGTTTCGTATAGACTCAACAACTTCGTATTTCATGTTTTATCTTACTCAGTTTCTTTGAAACTGAACGAACAATTTAGAAATATTATACATCTATATTCCATAAATTTATAGATAGTCTTATAGACAATCTTTTTTTTAAAAATCTTCCTTTTACTTCAATAAGCAATACAAACGAGTCCATCAAATTTCCAACAAATATTCCAATTTCCCTTCAAACCCCCCCCCCCCCTTCCTCATAATCCCTATTACACGATATAACCATTAAAGATTCATCATCTTAATAGACCACGATGAATTTTTCAATGAAGTATACTCGAGAGGCATTTTCTTAATCGACGTATCCCCGAACGAGATCCATACTTACACCACAGGGTATATACTCTGGCAATTGAGGCCATAGTCGCGTCATTTCGCGAGAGTAATGGCCCGAATTAGGA